CACACACCCTTGCCAACACAGGGAGGGGAGGAGGGGTGTGAAGACAGAGTACCAATGTTACGATCGCCAAAATATTGACAGACAATAATAGGCCAAGTACAATTATGTATATCAAGTCTGCCTCTATCCTGATGCAATTTAACTTCTGGTCACTTTCCTTCCTTGAAAACATGAACGTGTCCATATATACAACATACCACGTGGTCACTATAACACTAATTACAGGGTTAATCGTTAATTCAATTTCGGTATATATATCTGTTCATGGATTATTTACTTCAATATTTACCATATCTACATTATGGACAACACTCACTAATGATATATCACATCAATTAAATAACTTACATATATTATGAATTCATTGTCAACAAAGTGTTCGTCACGCCTCACTGAAATGCATGTCCACATAAACGAATAACCGAAATATGTATTAGAACTAACAAGTTGATATCCAAGAACAAAAAGTAAAACAAATGCATGATACATACCATTGTCTACGTCCGTATTTTGGGCGTAGTATAATGCTTTCGGGTGAAAATATATATTTACCTTCCTGGCACAGGGTCCGTTCTGCACGCGGCTGGCATGGTCTCACTGTTTTCTTGGTATGGAGTACGGTAGCCCAGTAGGAACAATCTGGACACGATAGTTTTCAAAAAGAAAATAATATCTGGTTTGAAAAGCTTTGTTAGGACTCATCACAGTGTAAAATATGATTGGTACATCTGTCTCTGTTTCATACTGATCATACAGTCTTGAATCCGACTCCTGTACGGTAGCCCTGTTGTCATTTATTACGTATCAAACTGTGTTGACCGTACGGTAGCCCAGTCACGACATACAGATTACACATGCATCAAACAAATCTCATTTAGGGTGGCCTAGCCACGACTTCAAACATGGTTTTCGTTAATTGATCTACCCACGACACACAGACTGCAAGTCAAACGGGTCTCCAACAACACGGTATCATTATCAGACTCAAGGTCATATTAAAGTCTTGAAAACATCGGTACCAGACTCAAGATCATATTGATGTCTTGAAAACATCGGTACCAGACTCAAGGTCAATTTGATGTCTTGAAGTCATCGGTACCAGACTCAATGTCATATTGATATCTTGAAATCATCGGTATCAGACTTAGGGTCATATTGATGTCTTGAAAGCATCGGTACCAGACTTAGGGTCATATTGATGTCTTGAAAGCATCGGTACCAGACTCAATGTCATATTGATATCTTGAAATCATCGGTATCAGACTTAGGGTCATATTGATGTCTTGAAAGCATCGGTACCAGACTCAAGGTCATATTGATGTCTTGAAATCATCGGTATCAGACTTAGGGTCATATTGATGTCTGTAAAACATCGACACCAGACTCAAGGTCATATTCCTATTGCTGCTTAATGAAGTTTTCAATAACAATAAAGTAAATGTTGTGATTAACATAGAACTTTTCATAAATACTGGAATATGAAACCAGACTTCAATCTTTGATTATTCCAGTGTGTCACATGGTTTAGTACTCCATGTACGGAAAGTACTGAAGCTCGCCTGAAGTACTACTTCGAGCGATTTTATTTTGTTTTGTTCCGATGACAGCAAGTATTCCTAGTTATATAAAGAAGGCATGGACAATCAGTGTATTACCAGTTACTGGTTTTGGTATCACACTACATGTTACGTAAGGGAGTTTTTTTGTAACTCGTAATTCTCTTTAAGATTATAATCTGAAAGCACGATAATTTTCTCTTCTTATCAATGTCATATCTCAAACTCAAAGTCAGTATAGCTAAGGCAAAATATGAACAAAAGAAATATTTATGTGGAGACTCCGTGTGTTCCGGAAGAGTAATCGTCTTCTGCTTCATCGACGACACCCGCCATGTAAATCTCGGTCAATCCAATAAGTAATGTCATGATCTCAAATGAGAACACCGTATACAACAACAAAACCAACAGACAAACCAATGAAGATCATATATGTCCAGTTTCAATCGCACAAAGAAATACAATCTGTTTCAATGAGATCGCTATGGCGACAGTAAAACTTCTCCAAAATTTGGCGACAAGGGGTAAACGAGGGAAATATCTGGCGACATACGCAGAGGTAGATGTAATATATGAAGTTTAAATGAAGATGAAACAGAAGATATAAGATGACATAGCGCAAAGGTATTAAATAATTAAATGGAAATAAAAGAGATGTTACATAACAAGTGCTCGTTTTTCATAGCACTTCTTTTCATCGCGTTATACAACTACCAAGAGTTTGTGTCGTGTGCATTTTGATAACAATATCAGTTGCAGTGTTATGATGTGCAGATCAGATATCAGAAATATGGGGACATCTCATTTATCTCAGGCTGTAGGAAATAATAGTGTTTGTCTTCTTCAAAGCAATTAATAAATAGAAACCCCTATCAACATTGAATTGTTAAAAACAAGCTTACAGTTCGTGTTTCAAGCAACACACTTCTGCCGTGCCAAAATTGGCATTTTTGAAGCAACTTTTCAAAAACCTTGGTCAGAACATGACATGGGAATTTTAATTAGTGCGTAACCCAATATAATATACATGTCAATTTCTTTCAGAAGTATGTTTACATCATCATGAAAATGAATGTGTGTGATATATATCTAGTTCAGGCATTGTCAATGAGCATTATTTCAGCTGTAGATATTGTGAAATGGAAATGTCATTTCTAATTCAAGTTATCATTTGGAAACCAAAAATCTATTTTTGGCTACAGTGACCTCTGTGATATACATTTTGATAAAAAAAAAAAAAAACACGACCACAGAGTAGGTATTCTACTAAACTAACATTGTGTTAAGTTTGAAGCTAAAAGGTCATCCCTCACTCAAATCATCATCTGGAAATTAAAAATCTATTTTTAGTAACAGTAACCTTTGTGGTTGACCTTTTAACCCCAAACATCACCTTCATGGCTGACATTTTGAAAACAAAATCCCAAACTAGGACTCCTACTAACCTTCATTGTATCAAGTTTCAACCTAATCGGCCATCCCTTACTCAAGTTAACATCTCGAAACCAACTGGACAGACAGACAGATGGACAAATGACGACAAACACTAAAGTGCACTGCGGTTTCACCGGTAGGGGACAAACAATTGTGAATAACTTCTTCCTTATTTAATTTCCACAAGTTCCAGAAGTACCCTCTGGTCAAAGTTTGAAATGTCAGCTATTTAAAACATGTTTAGACTTTCATCCAAGTGTGGTTTATTAATTTTATCTACACAACAGCCATAATGATTCATTGATAACTTCAAAATTGAATTTCACAAACCTATTTTGGTATAATTATAATTATCGTTGTAAAACATATTTTAATTTCAAATCTGCAGACTGTTTACAGTCAGAATTGTCAAGATAGGGCTCTGGAGGAGTCAAAACGTGTTTAGCTTAATATATATAACCAGTTGTCCTTCAAACTGTATTAGAAGACATGGAACAGTTCAAACAATAACTGACGTTTCCATGGACATCAAACATCTTATGGGGCTTTCTTGCTGAATATGCTTGCACGAGGTCACTTTCTTAGATATGAAGGTGAAATTTCACTCTTACCATTACCTAAGCCTCCTTGGTCTATCTAAACTTACTTACTGAAAGTGCTTACTTCATGTTATTTTCAGTACCTTGGTAAGTAAACTGATTTCCACAACTAAAATTAGCTTCTAACATGCTGTTGGAAACAATGGCAGGTATTGAATGTTATATGGCACTTCTTTTTTCCTTCTCAAAATTTATCGGGCTTTAACATATTTCTACCAGAAATTCTGCTTCTTGCACCAGAAGTATTTGGCATCTCTGACCTTGAAAACAGGCTTCATCCTAGAGACCTACCTGTCAAATATATTGCTTCTAGATCTTCTGGTTAATCAGGTGAAATTGTTTCAAAGTTTAACAAATTTGACCCCTGTGGCTTTGCATATAAATCAGGTCAATTCTATTCCAAAAGTATGCAGGGTTTCATCCTGGAAACTAATCAGCAAGGAGGTTAAGGTCATTACTGTTCACAAACTTTATCAAGCTTCATCAAAGGAAGCTATCAGCTAAATTTCATGCTTCAGCACCTTTGGATTCGTCATCAGAAGTCATTTTCATGTTTTAGCAAATTCAACTCCTGTGACTTTGAATAAAGGTAAAGGTCATTTCTTTTTCGAAATTGGTCAGCTTTCATCCCAGCCACCAATTAGCCAAATACCATGACATTTGGTCTGTTGACTATTTGAAAGAAGTTTTTTTAGATGGAAAAGTTGACACAAGACAGACAGACAACAGATGAAGGATGCCACATCAGGGCATCAGGTAAGCTAAAAAATCTTGTTTGCAGAAGGAACATATTTGCTTTCTGAAATGTCATTCTGTACAACTTATGCAGTTTTTATCTCAGGTGTTTATCTTGGGTAAGAGATAAAAAAAAAGAAAGAAAGCAGTCGATTAGCTGTAGGTAATATTTATTAGCCAGATGTCACAACCCCAGAAAGATAGTTTGTGGTGGTTACTCTTTTACACCTGACAAACTACACATACAAAACAGTTTTCAGTGCAGGGTTGTTGCAATACAGTACAAAACTTTCGCAGCTTGAAAATGACTAGATGAAGTTTAATGCTAAAACAAGATCCTCAAATACAATGAAAAATAAAGCAGTCTGAATCCGCAGAAATCAGAGACTGTACACTTACAAGTTACAGAATAAAAACACTCACAAGAACCTCTCTGGTCAATTTTTTGAACAAGCATTTTAACAAATATGTAGGAACAAAGTATTACTTGAATGGATTTCATTATTTTTTCTGCTTCTCGTGAATGACATACAAAACTTTTATTAACAATAAAAATCAGATTCCATAAATCATGATGTCATTTGTCGATGTTCAAGGCTTAAATAATTTATTCCAGAAAACTTAATATATGCCACACCTCATAATATTTTGAAAATTTCCATTGGTTAGAATAATATTTTGAAAATTTCCATTGGTTAGAAGTTTTTAATTAGTTTTAAGCAAGTAATTTAGTTTTGTAAATATCTTACTGTATTTTGATAGTAAGGATGTTCAAATGAAAAAGATCAACAATGTTGAGTCCCACAAAAGTTGTGTTTGGAATTTTGTTTCTCTACATAGCATTTCTTTTAGACTAACTATAGTTTCAATGTTCATAAGCTACTAACAATCTGTTTGAAAACTCTAGCAAAAATCAGAAACAAACAAAAGTTATTTTAAATCCAGGTATCAAAGATTTAAAGCATAACACCCCTTTTTATTGAGTTTTGATTTGTGCGTGTTTTCTTTAATTGAATCCAGAATACATTTAAAAGTTTGTTAAATATCTAAGCTAGAATTTATGTTTGCATTCAGAAATTTTCTCTGTACATTAAAGTGTGAAATACACTTTATTAAAATATGTAATTGTGGTTTTGTAAAATTAGTAGTATTAGACAGTGAACGGTATATTTTTCTGTATGCTGACAAACCATTACTGAGTACAATAAGCCATACAATAGCTTACCTCCCTTTAGATGTTTACGATATCTGTACATGGTACCGGTGATCAAGATATCAAATATCAGATAAACACACTTCCATCACTTATCTCCTCCTCCTCTCTGTCTCTTTTCACCAATAACCTCTCTCCTTCTTCTCTCTATCTCACAACATACAGCCACTGGCTCAAACAAACTCATTCAACAATAAATATATCTAAAGAGAAAAAACAGTTTATGTATTATCGGAAAGGCAAAATGTTTTAGTAAGACCTAAAGCATACAAAAAACTAAACTGCATGATTCATATTTGGCCTCTAAAATAACTATTGATACAGTCTTATACAACAGTGGGCCTTATACATTAGACAGGCTTACTAAACCCCTGTAGAAAGTGAATTCAAAACAAGATAGTGAATATCAACAAACATTAAACAACTATCAACATTTCCCAACATATTTATAGCAACCTCTCTAGAAACTTAATAGTATTTGATATATTTATTATTGTACATCTCTATCATTTTTGAAAAAAAAAACATAGAAAAAAGGAATAGCTTCCCTCTTAGGGCTTCAATGTCTCAAGTTCACAGTGCCTCTAGTGATAATTTTAAAGATGCTACAGCAGTGCTTGTACAGAATATATCTGCCTTATGACAGGTTTCAAATGTACCAATAATTATTCTGCACCAAATATTACCCAATCACTCACTTCATTATAAATGGTTCATCCAACCTCCATGATACCAAGATGATAAATTATCAAGTTTGAAATGATGATAGTATTAAGGTATGTTATGAATTGTCTACGATCATGACTCTCAGCTTTCCCACACGTCAGTATCACAATGAGTCAGTTTCATTTCCAAGGAAAATTCCAAATATTCTTTGTATGAAATACAAGATAATGGAGTTTAGAAAGAATTAATTTGTATGTCACCACAGACATTCTCTTCGGACACTTGTTCAACACAATGACTTTTTAAGTCACCATAGTGATGACCTATGACCTTGGTACTTCTATAGGTATTGTAACTTAGACAAGGAATGTTGTACATGTACATGTGTCATCACTGTACAAAACACCTACAACATGTCTTCATAACAAATCCTAATAAAAAAAAATATAAAAGCCGAACCAAAAATACACCAAAAGTATTATTGATAGTTCTGGTAATTATCAGAAGCACAGTGTGGTAGATACTTTAAGGAACATTTACTATAAGTACCTTCTTGTATAATAGGGATAATTCATCTTTTGTAGTATAAAGTTATACAAACTTGAGAGCTGAATAAGCATTTACAGTAGACTTGCAGAAGATGTTTCAAGGCTGGCAAGCATCACAACAACAAAATTAAGATTCATATCTAAAGAAATCTAAAACACGGCCTGAACTTTTTATATCTATATACACATTAAAACCTTAAAATTGTAGAAGTCTCGATATCAAAAGAGAGAACTGTAACAGACTGATCATGTAAAATGTGATCCGAGTTTAATAAAGACTACCCCCATCTTGAGCATATTATGACTTCCAGTTCCTCTTTATCTAAAAACTCCAAAGCGAAGTTTAGGGAAAATGGGGTGAATGATAATGGGTCATTATTATATAAACAGAAAGCTTTATTTATCCATATAAGTATGTTTTATATATCCTGTTTCTTAATAAAACCTATAGAATCTTTTAATCTAAATATAGCAGGACTCCTAAAAAAACATGTCTAAAGGAAAGGTAGATCACAGAATCCACAATTTGTATCATTAACATGTATATTGCATACCAAGACTCCAGAGACAATCACATAAATATATATGCCTAACCTAGTCTATCGAAGGCAGACAGAAAAGTCACATCATTGCATAAATAATATCAAACAAACAACAGTTTACCGGATAACTAAAGCTATCCTTAGACATGTTTACGTATAATCTGTATCTTGTTAAATAAAGGTGTATTGTGACAGTTACAGTACTGTACAACAGGAAATATTCATTCTTTTGTTCATGGCTTAAACCTAAGACATCATTTCAAGGAAAAAGAATTTTTGTGTGTACCTAAACACATAATTCTTTAACCAGAAGTCTTGGTTGTATTTTCTTGGGATTTTTCCCATGAATACAAAGAATTCTTCAAAGTAAAAGCAGATTTCATGTTATACAGTAACTTACATAAATATATATATTTATCAGATCAATAAAGATTAGTCTATAGCTGTCATAATCCAACATCACCTTTTACTATCAGAAAACTGGCCATTTCCATTGTTTACTACTTAGGCAATTATTTGTACAAAATCTAGTGATGTTAATACAATGTTTGCTTTACCGGGTACACTCTTTTGTATGACTCAGCATTTGTACTTTTTTCTTGTACTGATGAAATATGAAACAGACGTTTGATGCTCCATATTTCAACACTATAGTGTTATGTTACCATCTCTAGGTTACAAATATTATCCAGTTTGCTAATCCAATACCATATGTATAATCTTATAAGGCTTGAAATTTCTTCAAACTTTGGTTTACGGGAGAGCAGTTTAATTGCCTCCCTTCCCATATTTAGTAACTGCCAACCAATCATTTCTTTTAATCTATAAAGTTGCCTCCCTTCTGACATTAGGTAATAGTATCGGCATTGCCAACTGATCAATTTTTGAAATTTTTCAAAACTGTTTTAATTTTTTAGATCACTGAACATAAAAGACTGATTCTACCGACATATAAATCAGACCAGTTCATTGGCAGTTTGTTTAACTCTCATTAGAATTGGAAATGTTAAGATTATAGATTTGTAAGTAGTGATAATAAATTATGGCTGGATCTTCAGTGAAGTTGTCCTGACTTTCAGTCAGGCCCTATTGGTTTCACATAACAAAATACACATCAAAACATATAATTATCAGAACTAACCTGAACTTCATGGAAACATGATATTCACATGTACAACAATTATACAAAAATTTTTATAAGTTGATTGCACTTTTCACCCTGGAGTCTACCAGACTCCATAGAAATATGTTCAGTCACTTGTAGACAAGATACAAGGATTCTCACACTTTTCACACTGGAGTCTACCAGACTCCACAGAAATATGTTCAGTCACTTGTAGACAAGATACAAGGATTCTCACACATGATATTCATTGCAACAGTGCTACAAATATAGGTCTTGTCCCTAGATTCACCTATCTGTAGCACATGAATGTCTCTGATGATGTGTAAATTCTATATCATTCTCAGAGGGGTATGTATGAGGATGGCTTTAAAAAGTCTGTTTCTTGTTATTTCAAGCATATCACTTTGAACTACTAGGGTATGTTGTCATAAGCATAATTGTGTTTCTTTGTGGCACCAAATTTATCAATAAATGTCAGGCAGGACTCACTCTCTATAGTCCAGTACTGCAGCCAGTTTGAGATAACGGTTCTCAAAAATGTTTTCCCTGCAAACTATTGAATTTAGACATATTTTAATTCTTATTTATGAATCTGTGAGGCAGTGATATGGTATGTTCCACCAGAGGTGGAGTATGCTAGCAGGACAGAGGGAATCCTTGGGAGTCGCGTAGCTTGCGAGTGCTGTCTAACGGACTCAGATTAAAGCCTTTGTTCTGCATCATGGACTGGAGCTCGCTGTCTTCTTCTCGCTCTCTGTAAACACAGAAAAATAATGAATATGTTGGAAACAAAGATAAGATGGACAGATGATCAGGTCAATGTAATGTCTTGTCCTCAGTCTTTCTTCCAACATCTGATAACCACAATGTATTTGTTTTGAACAGTTAATTATCTTACCCTTTTAAATCTATCCCTTGTTATGACAATTTATCACTGTGTGTAGAATTGTCAGCGGATTTTTTTTTCACTAAACTCTCTCACCTTTTCACCTGCATTGGTATGGGACACACTTAGGTTTCTCTATTCCTTTCAAATATTATATAGGTATTAACAGGTGTTATCATACAAAGTATTAAGCCTATTGCAATTAAACAGCACATATTGACATAAAACATCTTTGACATGCTCAATTGTAATCTCATTGCAGTCATGCAAACAATCCGCTCCCCATGCAAAAAACAAATTCTGCGACAAGACATTCCTTTGTATGGTAAGCATGTCATTCAATCAATTTCTCTTAAATATCTTACAAGCTTATGGTACCCATGTTTTAGTAGGCAATAAAAACACGTCTTCAGTCATTAGGTAAAACCACACATTCAGTAAAAGTAAGGTGGAAATTGTCATACAATGATGTCACAAATTGGTGTACCATATGAATACATTTTTGATAAATTTACCAATGGAAAGACTAGTCAGAGAAAACTGAGGAATTTGTCAGAGAAAATCAAAGTTTTCAAGGCTATTTCCTGTACACCAGTATATTTCCTTTACATTCTGTTGCATAATGCAACATTTGGAATATTCCAGTTGTATTTTTCTAATACATGTATTAATATCTAGCAAACTATCACTTGTCTGCTTTGTACATGTATGATCAGGTCTGTTGCTTTCAACTGTTGAGGGATAGGAGGTTGGGATGGGAGGACCATGGCAGCAAATGAAAGCTGTACAGCTAACCTCAATGTGAAATGGGTCAGAATTGACAAAAACTGTGTTTTGAGATAACAGGATTGAAAATGTGCAAGAGTAAAACACAAAATAAACAAGTTACAGGGTACCTAAAAAACATGTGCTACCTTCTGTCTTTAAACTCTACAGGAATTTACTTCCTGAAATAAACTTAAATCGCTGCATCCTGCTGAACAAAGCACAAGTCACACTGCTAGAAGCCAATTTTCAAAACCAAACAAACATTCTTAGCAATGGCATCAGCGGACCAGTCAAAATAGGCAAACCTGGGAACTATAACACCTTAACGAGTTGGCACACCTATAAAGGTGTGTCGGTCATCATTCTACCTGAGTCTGTCTTCCTCCAACATGGCCACAAGATTGTTACGTTCCTCCACAACTTCAAGAAGTTCATCCAGAATTCGCTTCTCTTCTGCAGCTTGTTCCTGGGTTTTAACTATATCTGAAAGTGAACGGTTTGGTTTTGGGTTATAGGGCATGCAGCTTACTTAAGTAGAGAGACCTATGTACCCAATACTGGGAGACTGTGAACTAGCCATCAGAAGACCAGGAACACAACACAGCCACATGCTACTTTGTTAAAGGATAAACTCAAACAATACAGTGAAAACGTATTGAAAAGTGACCATTCACTCAGTGTCCCTACTTTAGACAGTATCAGTGAGTCCCTGAAACCATTTATAACTTATTTTAACTCTCTTTTAATAACATTAACAATAAAGAGTTTGTTTCTGAATTAATGTAATTTTAAAATGTATCTTTTGGATCTTACTTATTTTATTAATAAAGATTTTGAAAAGCTTTTTAATGCTAAAGACAGAAATTGGAGTAGAGAGGACAGTCAATTACTTAACATGACATGTCAACTGACAATGTTGTCTGCTGTATAACAGTGAAATCGTCATGTATTCCTCGGTAATAACTTCAGGAGCATTCTATTCCTTTATTGAAATGTGCTATCATAGCAAAGGCAAATTAATATTTCTTCAATCATCACTGTAACTGCTAAGGACCAACTGATACATCTTGCTATAAAATCTGAAATCGGAGAAAAGTGAAATGGTCACAGATAACAGGTGTAATATTAAAAAAAACCCAATATTTGTTTTCGTCCATTCTTCAGAAAAATCCCTTTCACCAAAACAAATAAAAAAATAAACAAGAAAATTTTCCAGTGAAGTAATGTTTGATAGTTTGACCTAGACAAGGTAGCATGCTTATATGATACATCTAGCTAAGACACAATGATGTCAACAACAACAGTTGATAGTGTTATGATATGAGATGAAATGACAAAGCCTGATATCTTAATGGATGTGATATATATAACTATGTTTTCCTGTCTCCTTATAGAAATGCATATCTTCAAGGGAACTGTAAGTTTTTCTTTTAATCATATTGAACATTTTATAAAACATACATTTAACGAAGCCACACCCTTTCAGTTTTCTTTTAATCAATTTAGACAGTTTTGAGGGAAATAAACAGCTTCTTTATTAATTAGTTAGCAGGATATACCCCGTTTTCAGCTTGTTTAACAAAGCAAATTGAAAGTGCTGACATACTATCAAGAAGTGTATGTCATTAACATTTTGAAATGCATATCCTTTTCAAAATAAAGCAATGATTTTTTTAAAAAAGATTTATCAATATTTTCTGAAATATCAAATAATTTACGAGATTTGCTTTGTTGAGCAAGAGTTCATTATTCCAGTAGTCCCAAACATGATGTTGTTTCTAAAAAACATCAATTAAATAAATATTGTACTTAATATATCCCGTAAATGTACCATCCACTAGAACCAGTCTTGGCTAGCAAGACAACCGCTTAATGCCATACACCAGACAGAAAACCAATATCTTTTGAGTGACACAAAATGTGTGGAATTATTGAATAGAAAGTTTCCAAAGAATTTTCTGACTCTAAATTCTTCAATCTTTTTAATGAATTAATCAATTAAGTGGTTCTTTCTCTTTGAATATTTCGATTCATCATTGAATTTTGAGTCAGACAGATCCAAAATGAATCAGAAGTCTTTGTATTTTGAAAGATGGTCTCACACAGATGTTTATGGGAACAAACTTGTGATGATTACAATACAAGGTCAAGTGAGACTACATTGACAGGATTGGTTAGATGTTAATCAAGGGAGATAATCTATGATAAATAAGGAAGAACCACTGACATGTTAACATATAATTTGGGACCACCACACACATGGCTACACAAAAACAGTGCTGGGATACCTAATATAGCAAAATCTCGAAACATCTCAGATAGGCTCCGCTCTCCAACATCGTAAAGTAAAAAGTCTGAAAAATCCGCCAAATTATCAACAAAGGCTTCCCGATAGTTATGTCTGCCAGGAAATGACATCATTTTCTCAATGTTAAGAGCAAAATCTGAATGAATTACACATATTTTGAGGTCATCTATATATGATTTCAACCTAAATACACATTTGAAAACAAAACTCTTCAGATTTAATTCTCCAATGTCACGTTCAATGGATGACGCAATGTACTTAGAAAGCCATGAGTAGGATGTTGGGGAAGTTCTTGGTAGATTAATCTACATATAGAGGACTTGGGGGAAATCTAATGACAAGCCTCACTCATATATGGTATACATTGAACTACTGGGTCCATGACACATGCAACAGACAATGAGATGACATGTTCTACAGCTACACATATCACACACTTCTACATAAAATGCAATTCAGACTCTCTAGATTGTGTCTCATCCATATCATCAATGGATAAACAGATTTTTAAGCCATAGCAAAAGCCTTCAAATGCAAACCTAACTCTTAAAAATGAATGAAATGAATTTTATGATAAACAAAAATTACACAACCAATTATACATAATGAAGCACTAGCTCTTTATAAACAATTCTTACACTGTACGTTAAGTTTGTATGGTTACCACGTCGATCAACACTCAGATTGTATGTATCCCTATAATTACTAGTTTTTCTCGTAAACCCACATCCTTAATAGACACTTAGTAGACAATCCACCCTACATCCTATAAAACTCATCAATCAATAGTTTGACTTGAACTTTACTTCAGATTCTTCCTCCTTTATTGTGAGTAAATATGTTTTGTTCTCGTCTTCAGCCTACTTGAACATGAACAACCTAACCCTGTTTTTTTTTTTAACGATCCACTTTTCTGATGACTGTGATTACACTTACTGTCCATTGCCATTCTCTCTCGAAGCCTCTGTTCTAGACGACCATGCCTGTCCTCAAGTTCCATATACTGGGCACTGAAAGTATAATACATGTATAAGTAATGCATTCAAACCTGCCTTTAAGGTCACTTCTATGTCACAAAAGCCTGCCTGAAATTTTAGGCTCCAGTATAATACCATTTATAGTAATTGAATCCTTTCTATAAAGACCACCTGCATATTAAGGTCACTTGAGTGATAACCAGGACCAAGTTACTTATTCAAGGGAAACAAGAAAATAGTCTATCAGTTCAAATAGTCTATCAGTTCAGAAAGAGTCATATTAAAACTTTTGGAAGATAAAGATTATTCAAACGGCATGCACCTGTGACCTTGAAAAGCATGAAACATTAATCAGTATTATATATAATTCTGATAAACAGTAAAAAAAATTCAAGATCAGTTTAGTTGGTGGCATCTTAAACTCCTGAAAGATTGTTCGGTAGAATTGAATTCGTGAAGACCATATAAAATATAGATTACAACATTAGAAGATAACAGTAGTACTTACTTGACCATTAACTCAGATTCATATCGGACAAGTGCATTCTTTTCATACACCAGATTGAACCATTCCTGCATCAATTCTTTCTCCTCACGCTCTGCATCTGGAAAGTGGAAAATCGACATATCACCAACTCATGATGAACTGGTTTTGTACTGATACTGAATATTGGTTACTTATTGTCTTGTTGATGTCCTGACATTACACTGTAGAAATTCTTTCCTGTGTATTAATTTTTTTATTTATTTTTTATCTCCATTTTAAGTGTTTTTTTCATTGTAACTCCTTACATAAAATTGAGAACAATCTTAAAACTTGATTACACTTAATCTTTGCCTTTTAAATGGATTTGACCCACTAGTCTATAATGTTAAAGTCATTCATTCTTACACTTTATATTAAAATCATCTTTCCACTTATCTGACGAGCCAGTCTCTACTCTATAAACTTTATTATTAAGACATACACGACTTAACTCTCATATCTTCAGTAAAACATATCATCATGACTTTATGACATTTGATATCATAACCTATCCTGCTAGAGAATATAAATCTAGTCATTTCATGTTGTAAAGTGACATACAATTGATACAACATATTAATACAATCAATACGATCAAACATTAACCAAGTGCCAACTACCTGGTCCCTCTCCTCTAAGTGCTTTCTCTATGGAGACACCACGTTCCTCTAGCTCCCTCTGTTTGACGTCCACTTCCTCGAGCTGCCTCTGTATCTCCTGAGCCATTCTCAGCCGTTTCTGTTCACGCTGCTTCAGTTGTTTCTTAGCAGCTGATTGTACACGACGAGCAATCTTCACATTCACCTCGTCTTCTGACATCGTCCTTCGATCCTGAAACAATATCAAATGCTTGTAATTACAATTGGTCAGATTTTAACACAGAGAAATATGGAAATTCAATCATTCTTCTTTATAAATTTCAATAATGATAAGAGATATCTCACTTGACTTTTATCGACAATTTTCAGTTCCATACCTATACAAAAAGAAATTTGTGAAATAACAATCTTTCCACCTAGAAGAGATGAACTGAAATCAAAGTTCTAAATCATAACAAAACAAGTGATCATATTTATTATTTCTAAGGAGATTCACTAACCCTTGACCGCCTGGATAGTGTGGTTTCAACAGACACATGACTTTCATCAGAATCAGAAAATTCTTCCACTGAAAATTAAATGTTGCAGAATGTACATACAGAAGAACATGTCATTGCATTCTCATTTGTTCAAGGAAAACCTATTCAGAACATATCAAAATCCATCACACACTTCAAATAATGCTATCCTGCACTACAAAGTCAATAGCTCTGAAGTGGTACTTTAAACATGTGTATATATTTTCAGAAGCACAACATAAAAGCACATTATCAATCATTAATTTAAAGCAAAATTTCAATATGTGTTATTAACAAAATTATGCACATTTCCATCTAACCATTCCATATATTCTTAAATAAAATTTCATTTTTGTTTTCTTTTGAATTTTATCAAGTTAGGTTATTAAACAAAAGAATAAATAGGTATACTTACAGTCAGCCCTGGGGGCCACAGTCCTACGGACAGCATGGCCTGGGCGTCGTCCTGTGGGAGTCCCCTTTTGTCCAAACATGGACCCAACAATTTTTAAGTCTTGCATGCCCTCACTCAGGCCCTTGTCTAAAGCATCCCCTTCAGATTTATGAAGCTTTTTCTTTTTCTTATCAGATTTTGGAGTCTTTTTAACTTTCTTTTCAGTTTTCTCATCAAGAGTATCATTTGATGATGACCTCTTGTCCTTGAAGTCTTTGCCTTTTTCTTTGCTTGGTCTTAACATCTGAAGGAGTGATTTGCGTTTTTTGTTTGTGGATTTTGTCTCAGTATCTGACTTATCAGAACTTTTACCATTGGTACTGTTATCTAACTGTTGGTTCTTTTTATCTTTGGAGAACTTTGGTGGTTGAACTACCTCACCATTAGGTGTAGAATGCATCACTTTCACTTTTGATCTCTGATTATCATCACTGTCTGAGAACACTTGGTCACTGGTGCTTGGGGTGGTACTGTTTCCCCTACGATATCTGTGACCTTTATGACCAGCTACAGGTGTGTATCCCATGTTTGCTAATCCTAACTCCTCATCACTTTTCAATCTTGCCTTCTCTCGAGCCTTTTCACGTGCCTTGTCCATATCTGTTCGCTTCAGTTGTCTTATGTGGTCAATTGTTGGAACAGCAGGCGTGCTTTCCCCTTGAGTTGGAGGAGTAGGCAAGATCCGTTTCCTGATGTCCCGCTGAGGACTAGGACGTTTCATGGCCGGAGCTGGTTTACTCTTAATAGAGGTGGCTGGCGTGTAGAAATTGTCATAGTGTGGATCTTCTTCGCTGTCATCAGCAAATGGAATGTCATCCACTATGTGCTCTCCTACACTCACACGTGGCTTGTTTGACTCTTCTTTCACTTGATTTTTCAGTTTTGAATCGATGCCAATTTTCTTTTTCCTGCCACTGGCATCTTCATTCTGACTTGAACTATCCTCATAACTACTGAGAGCTCTAAGCTTGGTATGATCTACAGAGACTCTCATTTTCTTCTCCTTAGATTTTGGCACTCTGTCTTTTTCTCCATTTGCCGATGAAGAAGATGTATAATTATTTCTAGAACTGTCAGTGGAAACAGACCTGTGTTTGAACTTCATTTCTGGACTAGAAGAACTCTCCTTTCCACTTGTCGTACTGTCACCACTTGTCATAGTCGTGGTAGGAGAACCTATCTTCTTTTTCATGAACTTGCTCTGAAACCCTTGCTGAGATACTTTACTTGTGAGGTTACTGATATCAGGGAGTTGTCTCCCTGTTGATGGGCGTCGCTCTTTTCCAGTGTCACTGCCAGACCCTGTACTGTTCTGACGTTTGGTAAGCGACTTGGTGGAGGATTTCACATTGTCATTATTATCTACAGGGGGTGGGGGAGGGAGGGGACGCCAAGCACTACCATCACTGTTGGTTTTGGTAAGATTACTATTACATACCACATCTGGTGATATTTCTGTCAAATTCTCATTGGCTGATGAATACTTGTCACTTACATTAGCACTTTTATCACTTGCACTCGCATTTGGTGTTGCATAGAAACTTTTATCTTTGTCTACAAGTGAATTCTCAAATTCATCCTGTTCTGCATGAAGAGTCTCATCCAGATTATCCTCATTTGCATTGTTTCTGGGTGTTGTATCATCACTATAATCTTCACCCAAAGCCTGACTTAGAGTCAGCTGATAGTCTCGTAACATATCCTCATCAGGTTTCTCATCATTTTCCTCGCCCTTAATATATGGCTGATTGTGATCCAGCTCTGATGACAGTGAACTCACAGACGACCTCCCAGAATGACTAGGTGTTGAGATGGTGAAACTGGAGTCAGATCCAACAGAATCTCTGTACATTGGGCGTTTCTTCTTTTTCACGGCACCTTTCCTACCACCACGTGTCCGTGTAATAAATCTATCATCTATGCCACTAAAATCTGGCATGTTAATATCATAATTCTCAGTGTTCATGCCTTCCACACTATTTAACACATCCTGTAACGTTGTACGTCCTGAAGAAGACGAACCATTTTCACTCATTTGTTGTATACTCTTAAGCACAGCTTGTTCTGTGTCCTCTAACACACCAGCCTCCATTCCTTCTCCTTCCTCCTGCTCCTCATCTGTTGAAGGAGAGGGAACCTCTTCCTCATCAGTCTTAAGCAGGTCAGGAACACTTTCACCACTAACACTTGACTTGTGGTCAATGTCAACCAATAACTTCTCCATTTCATATTTCAATGCGTCTTTATCATCAACTTCCTCCCCATTCTCCTCCGAATCAAACACCTCATCACATTCCTCATCCGTCCTCTGATCATCTTCATTAGCTTTTGCCATGATGTCTTCCTGTATTTCTTTGTTCTCCTCCTCATCCAATATCTCTGTCTTTATTTGACGATCTGTTGCCTCTGTGTCAGACCCTATCACTTCCGCTGCAGCATGTGGCTGTGTTGTGATCACTTCTTCAGAGTCCTCAGTGTTTTTATTAATGTCTTCGTTTGTCTTTCCCATACCAAACATTTTCCAGGGATCAAGCCTGACAACCTCCGGAGGAGTAGTGAAGAAATTAGCTCGCCTTGCTTTACATTCGACGTTAGAAGTATCTGGAGGAGGGATGTTGAGTGAAAGTTTTTTATTGGGTGTGACAGAAGGTGTCTGCTCAGCTTCAGCCTCCTCCCACACATCATCTTCCATTTCTGTGTCATCATCCTCCTGGTCTGTTTCAAAGTCTGAATCTGTAACATATAAAGTGACACTCAACAGATATAAGAATATTGGTACCTCATCTGATTTTCCATGCTTTAACCTCACCTCTTTCGAAATCCATAAATTTTCATAATCTTGATTTTCAAAGCAAAAAACATTCTTCCCCATTGAACATGGTAAACAAAAATAATAACCTTCCTTCTCTTTTTTTACCCCCACCCACCAACCCCTCCCTGTCCCCTTTAATAACCTTATTTTGCACCATCCTTCAAGAATCTAATTACGAATCCTGTATAAGGAAATATTTCTTAAACTGTAAAAACAATTATCCATATAGCAAAAAACTCCAAATCTACCCTTATTAAAGTCTGCTTTATATCAATTATTATATACATTTTAGTGTTGATAACAAATTTAGACTAATTCATCCATTTTACATATTCAGTAAATATTGTTTCCATAAACTTACCATCCTCCACCTCTGTGTCGTCATCCTCATCGCTATCCATATACTTGACTTTGCCCTCATTGTTCACAGCATCTATAAGGTTTTCATGTGACTTGCGTTTGAGAGTCTCCACTACCTCAAGAGCTTCCTCTAATGTAAGGTCCTTCTTGAGACCAAACGTCTCCTCCATCACCTCAGTTAGCTCAGCATCATCGCTTGACCTGAAGGACACAATAGCTTATTCACCAACCAGTAAGTGTTTGACAATTTCAATACCATATCTAATCACATGTCATATTTGTGATCATATTTTTACTTTGATTCAATATCTCACAAGTTCAATATTAAGTAATAGTAAAATTAATTTTCCATGATTTTAGCATCTGTTTCATGATATTGAAAGCTCTTTATACCAAAACATGCATTAAATGTGTAAAAGTAAATGATCAGTAATTTTATTCTGTCCATTTTTTTCAAGAAAATGTTTCAATGCTTGTTGAATGTGGTTCGACATATGCCTGGTCAAAATCCATTAGCTTCTCAAAGAAATATCATCACATGTTTAGAAATAAATGTGGAACTGGTAGAACTCAGTAGGGACTTTCCTTAGTACACAGTTATTGTTTGTAAACAAAATGAATCAAAACTTTATTTTCTGCTATCATTAATTTCAATTTAAAGAGCTTACTTCTAACATAACAAAACAATTCAACATTTTCATTTTTATCAACTTATTAATCTTGCAATGTCCAAAGATTGATTTTTCTTGAAAAAGATTAAATATTGAAAATTGCTGTGATTGATTACTAAAACACTGTAGTGAAACAGTGTGGTTCATGGCCTCTGTGTAACACACATGCTTCACATGGGGGTAAACAACTACAAAAAATACTATGGAGACCATGCAATGGAACACAGGACAAATCCTTAGGTAGAACTTATCAGTCAGAAAGTTAACTCAAAGATATTTTCATCACATATTTAGCTTTGCATCTTAACTAAATCGGATACATGTCACATGATACATGATAAATGTCAGAAACAGTAGAAACAAATTTTTTTTTTTTTTTTTTTTTTATAGAATTTGACCTCAGATATCCAATATTCATAAAAGACCAGAAAATTGAATACAGATCAAGATGCTTACATGTGATCTTGATTTTGACTTTTAATAAATGTCTTGTGTGTGAAGTGCTGCAAACTCAAAACCACTGGTCGTAGCCAGTATACTAGTCTAACAATGGCAGCATCACATGCAAAAGGACGGGAAATAGTCAGGGACAGAAAACCTGGCCTAACGGTGAAAAGGAAACGAGCAGACAGAAACAATAAACAAATTCTAGCGATCTTCTATTCATGTGTTCACTTAATATTATGTAACTAATATGGAGAGAAGTTTATTGACATATGTAAAATATAAAAATTCTTTTTAGTTGAAATATTAACTTGCAAATTTAAGGAACTATATTTCAATATAAACTGCACAATGTTGTTTGTTATACATGTATCTACATCTTTTAACTAAATCATTGAGAAAGAAACCACAAAAAAACATGCTTCTTTGATGGAACATGCAAAATTATTTTCATCTTTGAACTGACATCTAGACAAACAACTGTGTTTAGTCACCATCCCAACCAAATCCTTTCTGCATATATATATATATATATGATACAATATATCATAATTCTTCCGATGCATATATTTAAACAATTTGATATTACATTAAAACTATATCATTTAGGTTTTAAGTAAGATCTGAATTTCATAAGAAACAGGGTTGTCATATAGATTTAGTTTCATACAACATGTTATAACTATAAAAAGGAGTTATGAAACTTCTTTAATCAGGGGAGGAACAGACACAGATTAACGGGAACAAATCAATTTTATTTTCCTTTGTGAAATAATGCTCGAAAAAGTCAGTATTTAGAATAAAGTGCGGTCAGTGCTGACCATCACTTGAAAAATTATTTTCAGTGAAATTGTTATAATTTACAGCCTGTGGATGCCGATTCCATACAATGTTAAGAAGCACATTTTGCAGATTTGTATATTATCCATACCTTAGGAAGCTGCGCAAAATACAAAGATATCAAATGGTTTCTAATCAGAATATAAACTGAAATACTATTTCAGGAAAGATAAAATTTTATTTTACTATTTCACATTTTGAAATCAGATGTTTTTCAAATTCCAAAAAAGCCTCCCCTTTTCAATGTGTGTCTGCAGTTAGTATGGTTGTACATCATAATTTATCTTCAGAACTTATGCAACAAACAAACATCTATTGTAACTAAGGCAAGGCAATTTTGTGCCTACCAGTCACTCAGCATTTCATAAAGGTCTCTGAAATTAAAAGTCAGGTCCCTGTGTTACTTTCCGATATAAAAGAATGAAAACTATGTCGCTGCTACATGCTCCCAATCCCAGCCCTTGTTGTCCTCTCACTAGATCATTATCACTGAAGTGCAGTAGATACTGCATACCAAGTGAAATGTAAAATCAAATTACTAATAAAATTTGAAAGAATAAAACTAAAACTAAAGTACAGAAAATGTTGATGATTTCTGACAAACAGAATCCAAAAGGTTAAAGAGAATAAATGAATGTGTAAGGAAACATGATTCTCTTTTACTGAGTTTTACATACCGATAGCTGACAGGAAAGAAATGGAATACAAGAATGCATTTTAGAATCTAGCAGAAAAAGAGTATTTTGATGTATTTCATGGAAAGTCAACATGACTGAAAATAAGGTAGAAAAACAGCATCATCATCAATGTTAATAGATCTGGTTAACAGCAGAATATTTGAAGATCTACTTACATTTTAAAAACCTCTAGTCTGAACAATAGAAAACTTTGTTTTCAAATCTAGATTCAAAAAGATTTTTAATTAGGAAACATGTCAATTATTGATATTTTTAAATGTTTTATCTTTAAGAAAATAAATATTTACTTGTCTGAGCCTGTAATGAAACAAATTGACAGTGGCCACTATAAAATTAAATACATACTCAAGGTCAGAGTCCGACATATTTTCCTCCTCTTCATCACTGAGGATAGCATCAGATGACATGGAAGCACGGAGGTTGTGTTCCGTGAGCTCTTCCTCAGATTCCTCCTCCTGAAGGCCATCAATGCTATTCTCAAATTCTATTCTCTCTGGTGTTTTCTTGGCCTTTACAAAATCGGAGTCGGGCATCAGGGGTGGAGATAGGGGACCTTATAAAGAAAAAAAATGATGTGGCTGGTTACAGTGAATTCTGACATGAGAAACTATCAAGGGTGGTGAAACTATTTCCTTTGGACATCATGCATGAGGTATGAATTGGCTGTTTCTGTTCCCTTGAAATGAGATGGTCTTAAAATGCACACATATTTCCTAATTCACAGCTCTCTCAAATTTACATCTACCTTTTTATTTTTAAACAGATTTGTAATGTTTTTACTTTTTCCTGTCATTGATAAAACCAACTGTTAAGATATATCAACAAATGAAAAATATCAAATTTTGAGATACTTCTGTAAATCTATATGTACAATTCAATGAAGACAATGTTCATCTTTTCACTTCTCCCATTAAATTTGCTGTACATGATAACATCCACTTTTACAGCTTACAGCAGTGCTCCAGATAGCCTGCGTGAATGCGTTTTCACGCACAATATTTCTAATTTCACGCTAGGAAAAAAATAAGATTTGTGTCATTAACCCGTGCGAAATCCGGACTCTGCGTCAATGTCCGGCTCCAATATTACGTAGTTAGAAAACTCAATAATCTAAGTCAAACAGACACTTATCAAGTAAACGAAACTCGTAACAAGCGCTTTCTTGATCGTGATTATAAACCAGTCGCATAGCAAATATGGCGCGGTCAAAAATGTTTACAAATTCAGTGTTACCCTAATATGGAAAAACCCATACACTTGATGAAGGCAGGGGTGAAAAAAACCCTCAATTTATAAAGGTAGGAGTGAAAACCCCACATGTCAAAAAGTTATCTGGAGCACTGTTACATTTGCTTCCTTCCCCGTGATACAAGTTTTACATCCATTGCCATAAATAAAGAAGACACTTTCCACTGCAATACACTATACATCTCTCTGATCTGATTTATTAAGTATGACAAAATCTTGGTTTCCCTGTACACACACAATGTCACACCTTAAGTTCTAAATTATTCAATGACATCTTTATCATATACACTATGGTCTCTTACACCAGGTCAAGCAAGCTATCTACAGCAGGTAACAATCACACAAAGGTTGAATATGACTGGATTCAAAGAAATGATTGGACAATTTTACGACTTCAGATTTAAATATAATTGCCCACCTTTGAAATTTAAATGTCCAATGCCTACCTTTACAATTCATTTTTATGGTTTTATGAGTGACGTGTTTACACTTAGCCCTAACATTGTACACTATTGACACCCTATACACCTTTAATCCAATATAACAGTTGTCACTTTCAATACCTTGTACCTGTACAGAATCTCAATCTAAAGTCAGAGTTTAAACACATTTTTCTAAATCCTACAGCCCTAAATCTAAAGTTGTGACTACAAATGATTCTAAACTACAGCAATATCAACTCACAACAATGAATTCAGCATTTATTGCTCTGAACTCAAGAATTCCTTTCTCCTGCGTTACATATCATAGCTCTTTCGAAACTTCTCCTCACTTACTTGGTACTTTCTTCGGAGAACCATCAGTTTTCTTACGCTGAGGTGTTGGTGAATCACTAGTGTCTATCGATATCTTAGGAATGTTTTCCTGTTCAAGAAAATACAAAAAACTTATGAAAGTGCATCAATTACAAAACAATTAGGTACTATGAAACTTCTGATGAAGTCAAATTGAGTTATTTTAATTTTCTTTTCTTCTCAAGGACCTGTTCTTTTTCTATTTACTGGATAACTGGACATGTCTCCGTAACGTGGTGGAGGAAACCATCACCATAAAATCATTTTCTAAACTACTTAATAGTAAAAAATCACTGACCTTGAGACTATCATCTTTAAGCCAAGACCTTTTCCGTCTGCTCCTAATAGGAACCCTAGATTCTGGTCGTTGATGTCGGAAACAGTAGAACTTCACTGCAACACAGAGCAATAAAGAAGTTGAGAACATCTTCATTATTAAACAATAAAAATGTCTGGACACAAAACTTCTCTTTCTGTTAAAACAAAATTTTACAAAGATTTGACTCATATTTCATTTCTGTTTATGTTCAAAACATTACTGTCCTCACCAGAAGACTCCATTTCAGTGAGCTGTCACTTAAACCATGATGTCCTATAAGATCGACCAATAAAGCCTACCTTCTCCAGTATGTGAGCGTTCATGGCTGTAGTTACTAAGGCGGAGACCAGCAGAGCAGAAACTACATTTGAGACATTCACGGTGGAAGAAGATGCCCTCGGCACTCATACGCTCCATCAAATACACCCTCTTCTTACAGAAGTAGCAAAACTCGCTGGCCTTAGTAGCAGCTAATAACACACCTGGCTGCTTCTGTGAACATATAACATTTAATTAATAAAACATAAGTAGTCCTCTATCCCACTATAATTCAGTTGATTTTAAACAGATTTTATGCCAATTTTATACCAATACCGACTAAGAGAACTATTACATGGCAGAGCTATGAAGGAATAAATAATACATTTTATCATATATTGATGTGGGAGGTAAGGAAATTCTATACAGTGATGTAGAGGTACCCATATCACACATACCTACATTCTACTTTTTAGATTTTTTAAGTTTGAATGAGCTGCTCAGGAAAGAGCTTAATCTAGACACAGTTATGTGAGTCTGACCTAACTTACCCTTTTGGTGAGTGGTGATGTCTTCACCGGCTCCTCCTGCTGACCTTTGAACTTTGACACTAGGATCTCTGCCATGGCGCTGACCTTAACTGCAGCCAGGGACTCTTCTTTCTGTTTGACATTATCATTTTTCGGCTGGACGGTCAATTTATTAGCAATCTCATCCATCGGTAGTTTGTTGTACTTGGTCAATTGTACATCACCGTTGGTCTAAAAGTTTTGAAAAATTGATTTCAAAACAACATTCACTTTATTTTCAGATTGATTCAAATACAAAATATAAAACATACTGAAAATGTCGGAGACTTTTAAGAGACATAAAATACTCTTACCATTTAATTTTATGGGTAGAATTAATTATATATTAATGGATATTGAAATTAAAACTATATGCAGAGGGATGGAGTGAATATCAAAATCGTTAAATTACCAACAAGTTCTGTATAAACATATAAACAATTCCCACTAACCGCTTTGACTTCCTTATCTTTGAGTCGCCTCTTACTAAAGGATGTTTCATGTTTGTCTCCATCTTTTTCTTTCCGCTGTACACAAATTTAAACATCAAAGTTTTTAATGATAATACATATTACAATCAATGAAATTGTTGATAATTTATACATATTACAATCAATCAAAATTTTTGATAATTTATACATATAATCTCTCAAACTTGAGATAACAATAGGTATAATGATTAAGATTTTCTCAGATCCTTGAACAACTGTTAATATCTTGATACTGACTTTCAAACTTATACCTAAAAATTTCTCTCTGTACATACATGTACATGACAATAAAAATTTCTATTCTTAGCATTTAAATTCTGCAGTATGACTACTAACTTAATTCCAACAAAGAAATTTTATATCTCTGTTTAAAATATCACTTAACATGATATTTGAACAAGCCATTATAATTCTAACGACAAAAAAATCATCTGTATTCAAATTGCAAAAACCAGAATTTCCCACAATTTCATACTTCTAGCTTGTATTACACGAACCTTTTTTGACCTTGAGAATCGTGCACTGACTCTCAGCTTCTGTAGGATGGACAGACGATGATGGGGTGACTTATGACTCTTGTGACTTTCCTCTCTCGGTGACTCAACTGTAACAATAACAATATCAGCATTTTCTTTCACAATCACGTGGCAAGTTTTTACAGAAACAATAATCTGTAGAGATACTAAATTTTTACTCAGCTCCAAGCACTTACCGCTATCGAACTATCAAATATGTCTTGTTTATTTCATGGATAATTGATAACACATTAAGAACTTCATTAATACTTCTTCCTTAATCTATACAGTCTATCTTATCACTTTCTAATATTTGAGCCTCAAAAATAAGTTGTTTGAATTCCAGTTTAGAAAATTATGCCCTATTTTTGAAGATGGCACACAACCATGTATATGCAGGCATAAAATCTGTTTCATTCAGAGAGCAAGCAATTTGAATAGTAGAATAGTGCAATAGCCAGGGCAACCCTTTATCATACAAGCTTAAGTTTGAAAGCTTTTATTTGAAAAAAGAAAATCTTGTAATGCCCTTCTAGAACAAGTCAATTTAAAATGGACCACCATGACAGCACTTAAAAACATCAGTTACAGGGCATGTGCACCATGCAATAAATGTTTTAAAATATGTTCCAAATTTTTTTAGTTGTAAAACGTACAGCTAGATAATCTGTCTTTTCTGAACTTCTGGTAGAACTGAGAGAGGTATGAGATCATGGCAAGTTTGTCTGTAGCAGAACACTGAGTCATCTCTTCCCCGGTCATCACAGGAGCAATCCCAAACTCCTTCTGTGCCACATCAAATGCTAGCTGACAGTTTTTGGCCCCCTCCTTTGAGTTCAACACATTCATGTCACTGTAATACAACAAAATCTGATTAAATAAGTATATTTTTTGTGTTAAAAGTACAAAGATTATTGATACTTAAACTACAAGGAATTTTGACCCCAGAAAAAAATAAGTATATTAATGCTTAAACTGCAAGGATTTTTGCCTACGGAAGAAATGAATTTATTGATGCTTATCAAAACTTATCAAAAAGAGTACAATACTACTATATGACTTAGGTTATCATCACATTAACATGTAAAGAAGGGTATAGTCGTCAGTTTGTTTATTTTTTTTTTAAAATTCACAGCAATAATGTATTTCAAATCAAAACACCATATATTCTAAACAGACTTTTCTGAGGAAAACTTCAATTTTCTTTTTATTTCTAAAGGAACCTTTTTTACCCTATAGAATGATGGATACGACAGACATCTATGTTTATATCATGTGATAGGAGCCAGTACTTACATGAGATTTGGTTTGAGGATGTTGATGAGATAGCAGAGAGGAAATCCATTACGCCATGAGGATGTTAGGTCTACTATGTGTACAGTTCTGAATGTTCCAGTGTTCAACAGTTTCTGACACCATCTAAGTAATGTGTAGCTGTCTACGAAGTCATCCGCTATAGACATAGAAAAATACTTTACCAATCAGTGTGATGACATGGAAAGGATTTAAATAAATGGAATGTGAAAGAATATTTTGAACTCCGATCAGTGACAACTATAAGTACTGTAATGCCCGCCCCCCCCCGCTATATGCCCCTGGCCATAAATGGCGGGGGGCATAAAAATCTGATTATTATAGATGTGATCCTGTTGTGAACATATTTCATAACGTAATCAGCAGTTTAAAGGCATAACAGTTTAGAAAATAGCTTATCTAATTACATTGCTACCAGATGCTGTAGATCACTCACCATTTCTAGCCCGCTTTGCTGGTATATCAATGATCTCGTCCAGGTTTGTACCATCACCACAGTCATAAAGGTGTCGCATTTGCTCAGGTAAAATGGCCTTGCTATTTAAGTTGGGGTACCTGTTTGGAAAAATCATATTAATTAAAAGCTGCTATACCTAATATGGAAAATACAGGAATTACTTATTTATTTTTGTAAACTTGAGTAACGACATAACTCTGTTTTTTCTGTTTTGTTTTTGTTTTCTTTGTTTTATCTTAATTATGATAGATGCAATGTTGATCCTTCACTTTTCACCTCCTGATAACGTCAGAAATTCCATAAATCTTTATCCAGATGCAATCTATATACATCATATACTCAAAGTTAGCGAACTGTTTGATGGAGATGAGGCCAGAGAGAACAACATAAAAATAACATGTACATCAACAGTAAAATAAAACCTCATGTGATACTATCTCTGAGTTTCTAAATAAACTTCAGGAAAATTTCTTCTAATTGTCTTATTCAATTAAATCAATCTTCATTGATTTTCTATCATACCTGGTGTTTGGATCTATCGTGTACATGTGGTGATTTTTGTGAAGGTTTTCAGGAGTTGTCTGTGAGAGACGTAGGAAGATGCTCTCCCTCTCAGCCAAAACCTGCAGAGGCGTCATCTTTCCTGATGCCCACCGTCGAACCATCCATGCAGCATCGAGAGAGCTGAGGAAACCTCGAGCACAACCAGAGCCAGTGGGCCAGAAAGGCTATAAATGGATAACAAAATGAGTCAAGTCCGAGTAAAAGCTATAAATATCACATGCACAAGTAAACATCTAATGTAACATACATTATTACAATTTGTCTTTGCGAAGAATTGAAAACTTCAGTTTGTGGGGTAGTCCAACCTATTAATCAATATGATTATAATCATTTAAGCTTCCCATGTTAAACTCAATTGTGTCTGCAACAAAACAAATATAGGTACTGCCATGTGTACAAATAAGAAGCTTATTTTCAAGAATGTTTCCAATTCATACCTAATCCATGAACGTGTATCTTGGTATCTGATCCCTATAAGAGGGTTATTTTATTTCAAATCAATCTCTTTCTCCAACCCCATCATTGTAAATTTTTATACTAGCACTTCGAACATTCCTGAAATAAAAGGTCAACATTGACATACCATTTAATATCTTTTACAATTAAAAATTCAACTGTACATATTTCAATTCTGTACATGAATTTAAACGTTATTCACCTCTAAAAGACTATCTCCTACTAGTCCCATCAACAAGTTATGACCGTTTCTCTTTATGACACGTGAGGCATTCTGGGCGGCAAACATGGAGGTGAAATCAAACATGGCAATGTCAGGTTGACCGTAGTGGTTGATTGCATAGTCCAGGTGAGGGAGCTGTTGATTGGTGGAAAAGTCAGCAGCCTCACGGGCATAATCCATCAATCGATCCCGGTTCACGTTGTTGGGGGATAAGAGAGAGGCCGTGTCGGGATAATCCTTAGGTAAATAAAGATAAATATACCATTGATAACTGTATATAGATGTCTATTTGAAGTGGTCACGAGATGGAATTAAAGCCACATAAAAATTTAGACAGTGCCATTTGTATTTCTGCACACTTAAAACCAGCATTACAGGCAGAAGAATTTCCTTAGTGTCAAAATGTGTTCATGTTGTGATTATTTTAATTGGCCACATAGCAGCCAACCATCTTTCTTCTGTAGTTTTCAACTTTTTGAAAGTAAGAGCAACACTTTTAATGTCATTTGTTCTCCATTCGGGCTAGTCAAAATCTCTTTTGATTTTGATTTGGTAATTAAATATATATACAGGTCAATTGAAAGATGAAGTATTTAACAATTTAAAACAGAGAATTTTAGGAGACATGAATATCATGCACATCAGCTGATCCTTTTTTTATTGAAATTAATAACTACCTTTACCTATGAACGATGAAAGATGAACTCATCCAAAGTATTTTCCTACTAAGCTTGTGTTTTAACTTCGATGAAAATTCTAAACGAAAAAAAAACCACTATAGTGATGTCACTACATCAATTAGGCATTCAAAACATGCTACATGTTACACTTACTCTGACAAGTACACCCTTGTCAAGAAGACTGGTTTTCTTGGCGGTCATCACAAAGTAGTGGGTATCATCTTTGTAGTAGACGATGTTCTCAAGGTCTATGCCTGTTTGTTCTGTGAGATCTTTGAAGAACTTCTGGTTGAAGATAAATGCTACCCCACTGATTTCTTCTACACTCGCCTCTTCTGTCGTGTTCCGATTAATGAAATTGGCAGTGATTGCTATTGCAAGCTTCCCGCGAAATTCCTTCCGTTTGAAACCTTAAAAACAGAAAAAAAAACTTCATGTAAATAGACATCAACTTTTCCATTTTGTCAATAAACAAGTATTAAATGGACTTTTAAAATCGCTTTCTTGATAAAAATTCTCAGTGTGTTCTTGACTTTTATCAATAGTGATGATCTACATACAAGATAAGTGTGATAACAAACATGAGATCTTTTAAGATCTTTTAACAAAAACAGAAGTGATAGCAAGGATACTATATTCTATCAAAATATCTAACCCTGAAGTGTGTTCCTCTTGCCATCAGCCCCAATAAGAACATCAAACTCATATTCTGACACTGGGTGATCTGGGGGTTCCACTTTACAGCGCCATCCCAAATCTGTAATATAAGACAACATGTAAATGAATGAACTCCTCTTTGACAACTAGCATTCTTGAGATTGTTGTGTCTTAAACCTTTTTACACCTTTTGCTATAGAAACAGACTCACAGGACACAATCAATGCTAGATTGAATGATGTTGAAGAAAATTCTTATTAGTATATCTAGCAACAAGGCCATATTTAGTAATATGCAACCCCCCATCGCCCTTATCTTAACCTGTTCGATAGTATTACACATATCTCAAGTTCAGTGGCTTTACCAACTACTGTTTCAATGTCTTGTAATAAGCCCATCCCCTTTCTTTCCGTCAGAAGTAATTCGTTGGCCCCCAAGTCATGACAGCCAACATTGGATTATTCATCAAAGCAGAGCTTCAAATGTTATATTTAAAAAAAAAAAAAACCCAGTTCCTTTCACTTAATCATTATTTTCGTACATGTTTAGACTGTCATTGTCTAGATACTGGGTCATTAATTAAAGAAAGGTGAGTTAGAGTGTTTATGATTTACATACTGTGTGTAGACTGGTCTTCTGGAGGCTCTATGAGGTCCTCAAATCCTACATTACAGTGTATCTCCACCCCCAGGATCAGCGCTGCCTTCGTCAGGATACATTGGAGTTGTCGAATACCTGAAGGCGAAGGACATGTGTGTCAGAGTATAAATAATCAATCAGTACATAATAAAGATTAAACAAAGGCTGCTAAAAGGTTCTTTCTTCTGTATATTCACTGATCAATTTTAATGAAGCTAAGGTCTTCAGAATTCGGGGTACAAACGATTTGGCCTGCTTTCTACATATAAATTGTAAATAATGAAGGAAATCTACTAAACCTTTGTATAAAATACATATTTTTCTCTTCTAACTACACTTCCCATCTGTTTAGCACTGTTCACAGTATTTCACGTCAATCAACATATGAATTTCAGTATGGATATCCCAGGAAAATCAAATTAATTCACTAAAATTAATACAAAAATAATAATCTTTTACAAAAGGATACAATTGCAGTACACTTTTTGTAAAAGAATTTGACAATGTTGCCAATTACACAATGTGTGGCTAAGAATACAAATGAAATATAGCAATATTTCCCAGCACATAGAGATACTTACTGATGTGATCTATGGCTCCAGCACAGAATTTACCAAAGAACTTTTTAGCGCCAAGATTTTTGAGGTCTGTGATAAGGTAGGGCCAGAGATGAAGGACATTGTTCCTGGAGAAACTGTCCCTCTTCTCCACCAGCACCACACGTGCCCCTAATAGGGCACACTCGATGGCCGTTCTCAGTCCACATGGTCCTGCACCAATCACTAGGACCTGTTAAGTACATGGTTCGTTGATTATGTAATACCATAATGACCTGTCAGTAATTTGATCAGCAGAGCAAATCAGAACTTATATCAGTAAATATGCCAAAAAATTCTATGTCTTAGTTTGCCAATAACCTATCTCTTACTTTTAGTAGAGAGTAATAAGTTGGCCTCATTTGGTTACTGTAGGATAAATACTGTGAAATATTTCATCAGCAGTACTTAATTGTGCTCAGAAACATATTGTATAATTAGCAGTACTTAACAGTGATCAAAAAAATATTGTATCATTAGAAGAAAAGCAAAATATTAAACAATACAATATTATCTTCTAGACATTCCTTGATCATTTAACATGTGTCTTGATGAAAAAAAAATAAAGGACATGCTTTATTAAGCAAGTATGAAAAGCTGAAAGAAATTCTATAACATGGTATTATGATAGAATTATTATATATTATTACTTAGTAGATAAAATTTTCTATTGTTTTGTAAAGTAAAGCCTTTGTGTACAGAAGCCAGTACTTTTGCCGATCTCTTTCCTAGAAAGATTTTTGCTTGTTAATAAAGCATGTTACTTAAATCCTTCTTGAAGCCCTGATAACTGGTTTAGGGCATTCAGTCAACCCTACAAAGTATCTGGGTTTTTTTTTTCTGGCTGAAAGGGACATGTCTATATTAAGACCCTTCAGAGCTTTTACATCTGAAACTGCCAAACTACAAAGGTCAATTGAATGACCCTGTGATGCTTTTAATTTGTTGAGTCATTTTTAAAGGTTCTTAAAGGAAAATACTGATGACTGCTAGTTATCCCAGTGATGTAATGCTATGGTGACTCTGACTGTTGACAGGGTGATAGAAACCCAGTACATAAACAGTCATGTTGTCAAGTCAACACAAAAGAAAAAACTGCCTGTCCACAGCTACACCAAGACAATCGAACTGATATTCTCTACAAGAATGGTCTATACACTAGCCGAGTCCCTCCTGTATCCCACAGGTAATCACTGCCATCAGACTTGTGGCTTCAAACCACAGACACATCAACATCAATTCTCTTTGTAAGTATAGACCTTCCACTAATAAAAATGTTTATAACTTCATCAGCTTCTCTACAAGTACATTTTTATCTAACTTGTTAGGAGCCAAGTGTAGATGATTTTCCATTAAGTGACGAGCTTCCAGACAAGCAAGTACATCAATAGTAATGCTAACGCTTCATAGTCATTTACCGACCCTTCAGTTATGAGAAAAGTTGAAATGAAAGTTCCATTTAGCCAACATGAACTAGACCAGTGGACCTTGAAGTCTAAACCTCGGCAAGTCAATGATTCAGTTTGGTTTTCTACTGTTTAATGTCCTATTCATGATCTATAGTTATTCAAGGACAGGCTCTCGGTGCATGCTAGGTATGTGAACATAATGAGGATAAGTACACGTTTTTTCGGAGGCTGCAATATGTTTGTGTAATTCATGTGATAGCACAGAACTGAAGCTGACATCACAGTGCTGTCTAGTCACACTATATACTAACAGGCAAACCTGTTGTTACACGACCACAATGCTGAGTGTTAAGCAGACAGTAGTAACCAGTATTTTGAAAGATTTTGGTTGGTCTTAGCCTTGGAACAGAACCCAAAGTCATCCTCACAGGAAAGAATGCTTAGCTGAAGGTCAAAAGTGAGACAGTGTCAGGCAGACATTCAAAAGAAAATACTTGTTGAAAAAGAAGAGAAAAGATCCCAAATTAAGTCACCTCTTACAATCGTTCAATTGAAATGTCAAGTACAATTCTTATCCTACCTGCAAGTCCATAGTACTAAGTATATATCAATACAAGACAAAATGTGTCCAGTCTATCTGTACCAGTACAGGACACTACAGGGGTCATCTAGAGAAGTATTTCCAGGACATACCTACATTGTTATTGAGTACACTTTTCTTACACCTTCCCCATACCTACCCTAGTGTCTGAGCAGGCCTCTCCCTTCCTGTACTCCTTGAGCCCTGCTCGCTTGTCGAGCTTGGCCCAAACTGTCTGAGCCTTCCATGAGGTGATGCGGTTGCGGAGTCTGCGGTAGAAGTGTCTATGTGTGGTGTGCTTGATGTCCAACTCCTCACATAATTGTTGGAATGTGGACAGAATATGCTTGCATGTTCCTGCCTTAATGAAGTCGTCAAACAAGACCTCCACTGAAACTTCCCCTACCTCGCCATGGCGATAATCCATAATGCATCTCTATAACCTGTAACAATGAAGTAGTTCTTTAAGGAACAATACAAAATCAAACATATGCCTTTTTGCCTAATTCTGAAAAAAAAGGAACTAGACACAATGTAGTACCTATAATATGAAGTATATCAGAAAGACATACTAGCTAGCTTAAATCTCATATCAAAACATTAAAACATTGATTTTTTTACTTTTAAAAATCCCCCATCAGATCAACACAGTAGAGGGTCAAATACCAAAATGAAATATTTGTAAGATATTATTCTGTGAAACCAATGCCTGCTGTGTTTTACCATCGATTGAATCTGATCAAGACCAGGCTTCATTTCTCAGCAGTGTATATGTTTATGTATATTTTATACCTTATGTTGGTACATGTACACTTGGTAAATATTGTTGGAGTTTACACACTCCTGCATTATGGTCGACCAGGATCAATTCCTTCTGTCAATCACAAACACCTCTTTATTACAGCAGGTATTTTTCCTGGGCTTGAATCGTTGTACAGTTTATACTGGTATAGCACTACCAGCGTGGATTGTATCCCCAGGGATGTTGCATTAGTCAGATCAAGTTTTCCTGCTGTACAGGCAAGATACTGTATTAATCACAAACAAACTAGTAATTTTCCTCTCGACATATTTTGAGGGTCAGTAATTTTAGTGATATACTGACAAATATAACACACAGTTTGGGAATGATGTAGACATCATCGCTTTGAATGACATGTTTACTTTGAAATAGACACCATCTCATTAACTGGTGTGATATTAGAGTGGGGAAGTATCTTTACTTTTCTACTCTGTCACTGACAAGTCTAGATACATGGAGGTGTGTATAGGGGATGACACACAGGTGATGGTCCTTTCCTCACTAACAGTGTGACCCCAGTAGGAAACTACAGCATGGCTCAATGTCCTCACGCAGATGAACTTGTATAATGGGTAGATCTAGTGACCTTACAAAGATGAACTTTACCAGGGGTAAATCAAATACGCTTGACAATAACAAAGGGACATGGCTGAAAAAGAGTATCTTACACAAAGAGATACAAATATACATTACAGTAGTCTGAAGGTTTCAGACAAAAATAAAATTGCAAGTAAATTTTGTCACAACCCTTAAGACTTCAATTTACATCAACATTACATTAACTACTACTTCAGTATCCTCATATAAGCCTATCCTCGATTTTGAGTCTGATGTTGGATCTTTGTGCTCATTGCATGATAAATATGGTGCTGTACTAATTTAGAATTAATAACAAAGAAACAATAGGTCAGGTGATAGTCCCATAAACATTATATTGGATGCTGACCTCCCTCCACCGAGTACATTAGTCTCTGACACATGTGTCAGTGGCTGGGCCTATTTCATTATGACAGCAAGATACAATGGATGTCATTCCGTATATAAGGATAATGATTACAACACACCTACTGGTACTCAGAGCTATCTTGTTATACTTCAATTATGTATCAACGTGATCATCATACTTAGATTAAGAGTTCGTTACGAGTAATTGGACCGACCGACTGGAAGCCATATATATAGGTTATGAATTTGGTGATATCAGTGTGTCCTTTGTTTTCTTCATGACATATATAGCAGGTGATACTAACTCTGAGGGTTACCTCCCTAGAAAATGGACAATGTGGGGAAAGTGTACAGATAACATTTAAATTTAGACCACATGACCTGGTGACCTAGCTGTTAACACTGGATGTAACAACTAGGATAACCTAATCACCGTGACAGATTAGTCAGGGCATCCCATTGTCTGGCTGTCTCAACTGATAGCACCTGATACATAGACATGTATCACCTTCTACTACTCACATTATCCTGTTATTTCTCTTTTCATATCAATTTTGTTATCCCCAAATTATATAACCACAGATGGGAGAAATGATGACACAACTACAATCCAGTTACAAAATATGAAAAAAAATTACAAAAATATGATTTTCAATAGAGACAAAAATGTGGAAATTTCAATGTTTAAAAACGACAGTAGCACTATCAACAGAAATTTTGTAAATAAATAATGTCAGATTTGAAAAGAAATTTTCAGTAAAGTCAAAATTAAGTTTAGATATGACATGTTTCCTGTTTGTGTAAATGAATTACGTTGTAAAATGGTCCAGGTAGTGTGGTAGAAATGTATAGTTACATTTCTACATACCTGAAATTCATTGCTATACAATGTATTTTAGATAAACAGGAGATATGATTTTCTCTTCCTGAAGAGATACAACACGGTGTACATATGCTGTATACAACGTTGGAACTTGAGATTATAACAAGTGTAAACAGACAAGATACAGCTAAAGCTTGTGATGGTTTTATAAACATCTTATAGTGTTTACTGTAAACCTGATATTATTATACATACCAGCTAGATCATATTTATACTACCGTCTGGACAGCTATACAAACTGGTGTCGGTTGTATACAGAACTTATATCTTAAACCTTGACAATTGTATAAGAAACCAAATGAGTTTAGACCAAGCTACAGTATACCCTGACCAAACTACAATATACCCAATCCCCTTCGTCCACAGACTTTTTTGGGACCATGTCTTTTCTTTTTCAGAATGACTGACAAGTAGGCAAAGTCCTTGATCTGTCATTATTGTAAACACAGTCTTAAGAAAATGCTGATGACCTAATGATAAGTGTCAAACTATCAGAGATATAACACAGGCAGGTATACTATCTTATGTACTATCTCTGTCACCTGTCAGTATTACTTAACACAGAAAACATCCCTGTGTATATATATCACCACTGCTTAACTCAGAAAACATCCCTGTGTATATATATATATCACCATTGTTTAACTCAGAAAACATCACTGTGTATATACATGTTCTACACAAATTAACAAACAGTACTTACATCACCATATATTTTCTAGTGACCTTCAGGAAAACACAATCCATTATATACTGAAATAATAACACATCTCTACACCTGGAACAGTACATCTAACAATAAGACTTTCGTAATCATCTCATGACAGATCGTAGTGGGAGTGAAAGAGTAATGAAAGACTTCCGGTTTTATTGTTATGTGAAGCATGGAGATATGTGGGGAAACCCGATTACTATGAGACATACAAACCATCCCTATACCCTATACACTATTTATCTATTATCGTACACATGTACACCACCATAGGTAATTTTCACTAAGGTGTTTATCCAGTTCAACCTTATCTAAGTATATTATAATGTCTATCAAAGGCACACACACCTTCCTTCTACATTTCTGAATGAAGGTATTTACATTTTAGACTGTTAAATATACAGTATATGGTGTATACTTAGGTACACTATAAATGTAGCTGTACCTGTAATAGGGTGTGACATGACGAAGGTTCACCTAAGCTGAAGAATTTGACATATGAACCCAGCATATGTAATTTAATCAATAAACATCTGTAACATAGCCCAGATATCAAAAGTATTAACAAGGCAGACATTAAACCTATCATTATTACATAACTTTCTATTCATACATCTGCAAGTACAATGGCTGTTTATACACTGAATAAATTTAAAATGACAAACCACATTCAACACCAGTTTTAACTTGCTCACATTAATTACTTCTGTATTCTACATTACTTTCATTTGGTGCACTTAATCTTCCTAATTCCCAAATAACGAAAACTTCATCAGGAATGGTAACATTTCAGAGTAATTTAAAACATTTTTGACCAATTTGTATAATTAACTTGCATATTTATAGGTAAAAATTATAAAAATTTTATTCATAATCTGTTATATCATATAAAAAGGGACTAGGACATACGTTAAGGTGTTCCAATTTATTTTTGCTTAGGAAATAACTGTATACTATAACTTGCCGTATGTGATAAAATTTCATTACTTTGCCTCGTAAAATATGTGTATTCATTTTTACCTCCCGGCATTATCATTCCTCATTGTGAAATGTAATAAACAGTTTTAATTGTAGCAATGTTATGACAAATGTACTTTAGTAATGCAGTACAGCTGATCTGTCTCTGGAAGTCATACCATCACTATCTGCCTTGAATTCTTTCACTTTACATCAATGGAGCTTTTTACAAGCAATAAATCAACCAAAGTGTTTTCATAAAGACCGATAAAGTTTTTTGTGGGTTTTTTTTCCAGCAAATCTTAGATACACGTACAAATGCAGGAAACACACCAATGGAATCTTCATGACCAATATTGTATGGAAAATCTACACAAAAATTAAAGTGTTTAAGATTCTATTATGTAGAATTTTTTGAATCAAATGCTGAACTTCAAAAGGGCAATAACATTTTTGTAATAAAACAGAATCAATTGCACTTAAAGTTTAAATTTTTCAATTGTCATCATTCATATGGAAGAACCTATTCATGTAATATTCTAGGTGCAAATACAAGATATGCTGGCAGATCAGTGGGACTGATTGGTGCTCTGACTGACCCTTAGAGACTGAGATAAGACAGATAAATACAGCTAGCAAGTCAACTATTTGCCTCCCTCCTCCTTCCCTTACAACAGACTTTCCATGTTTTTGCTTTCTGCAGCGGATATTATTTTCTGGGGATAATTATAGTCTCTCAATGATGATAGGATGCTTAGCCTTCTGAGAGGCATGACATGTTCAAGATCTTTACTGTTCTTTCTGTATCTGTCATGTGGTGGTAGACAAGTGGATGGGAATCAAATGTAGACTTAGTCCAGGAACAAAGAAGCAGTGTATTGATCTCTTTCATCTATCAATAAAAATGCCTTTATAAGACTACCTGTAAGAAATTGATAAGATGAAGAATGTTAAAAGATATTACGTAATAATATTATGTATTAATATTCCTTCGTCACCTGTTCATATATTTTGTGACATATTATTCAACTTTAATTATTACCTAAACAAGATGACATGTAGAAAGAATATGATGTAATTACATGTACCAATAGTTTAGATAGGCAATGCAGATAAAATTTAATTGAT